TCGGAATCATAGCTAGGATTACAGAGGTGAGCCACAGAGCCCAACGAGCTCAGTGGCTTGAGGTAGCATGACCAGGTCTCAACATGAAGACTACAAGCATGTGCCAGAACGTCTCACAGCCTGGAGGAATTGTCGGCTGGCCGGAAGGTGGGCTGTGCATGGGGGACTGAACCACAGCCCTGATCTCAGAGCCATGAGGAGACTCTGGAATTGGGAAACAACACAGAGAGTTGGGGGATGGCTGGCAACCAGGGGGTGTGGTGGGGCTGGGGTTGGCATGCAGAGCCAGCCAGGCCTGCCGTCCACCTGCTGGGTCAAATCCTCCTGGTGCACTGAGAGCCAAGAACTTTCGAATCAAGTTGGGTGCTAAGCAATCCCTTCCTTACCTACCACTTGCACCTGGCTGGAATCCGAAGACTCTTCCAGCTTCAGAGTTACCTCTGTTGGGCCTCTGATTGCTCTGTGTGTCTGTGTGTGTGCGTGTGCACACTTGCGAGTGCACACTGATACCAACACTTAAACTCAGGGCCTTGTACTCTTGCTTGGCTTTCTTGCTCATGACTGGTGCTCTGCTACCTGGGTCATACCCCCCAGACAAATTTGGTGGGGGTGGCCTAGATAATTGGAAGTAAGCATCTCATGTATTTTTCTGCCTGGGCTGGCTTCAAACCACCATCCTCCGTCTCTGGGCCTCCTGAGTAGCAGGGATTACAGGCATGAGCAGTGGCACCATTTCTCAGACGGCTCTTTACACCTGACTCACCTCTTTCATCTGGCCTCCCTCTGCAGCCTCCAAGCTCCGCTCGCTCTCTTCCATCCTCCATGGCTCCCTCACCCCCCATTTGGGGGCTTTAGGGGCATCAGCACCAGATGAGCAAGTAGTCAGGGAAGGGCCTGAGGAATGAGCCAGGCCAGCCCTGTGTCTGCAAAGGCTTGCAGGTGCATTCGTTAATGATGTGTGAGCGTGAGTGGGTGGGTAGGTGGAACAGGGCGGCGCGTGGCCCAGTGACGAGATTACCCCGAGAACCGAGGCCTGAGCTCCCTTCAAGCCTACACCAAAGGTAGGTAGGTTTGTTTATTCATTCATGTTAGTAATTTTTATATTTGAGTGCACCAGACTTGAACTCAGGGCCTTGTGCTCTCGCGTGGCTTTCTTGCTCATTGCTGGCCCTCTGCCACTTGAGCCTCACCTCCAGCCTAGCTTTTTGCTGGTTAGTTGCAGATGGAGTCTTGTGGACTTTTCTGCCCAAGTTGGTTTCAAACCTCCATCTTCCAGATCTCTGCCTCCTGAGCAGCTGGGATTACAGGTGTGAGCCATTGGCTGTGTTAATACCTTGAGCCTCTTGGGCCTCATCAGGGTGAGAAGTTCTCACCCTGCCCGCACCATCCTGCTGGGCGGGGAATCCTCCAGGGATCACCAAAGCAGTAGTGCAGATTCTCAGAAATGTTAGATGCAAGGAAGAATACAAGGAAGGAAGCTCTCGGCAGAAGTCTAGGAGCTCTAGCAAGTTTCTGGCTGGTACTGTGGTCAGGGAGGCTGTGGCCTCAGCAGGCCATGGTCAGGGGGAGGCCATGGTCAGGAGGAGGCTGTGGTCAGGGGGAGGCCGTGGTCAGGAGGAGGCTGTGGTCAGGGGGAGGCCATGGTCAGGAGGAGGCTGTGGTGGAGGCAGAGACTGTGGTCAGGGGGCGGCTGTGATCAGGAGGAGGCCATGTTCAGGAGGAAGCTGTGGTAAAGGGGGAGGCCATGGAGGAAGCAGACACTCTGGTCAGGAGGAGGCTGTGGTGGAGGGGGAGGCCGTGGTCAGAAGGAGGCCATGGTTTGGGTGGAGGCTCCTCACCAGAGCTGCAGAGCCACAGGGCCCCAGCACATCCTCCGTGGCCAGACAGAAAGTCCGCATGCGCACGGCAGGGTGAGGGAGAACCAGAAGCTGCTCACAGCTGGAATTGAACAGTTTCCTCCCCTTCCCCCCCCCCAGAGTATTAGAAACGATTTCTTTTTGAAATTTTAAAACTTTAGGTGCAAATGGAAGCAATATTGAAACAAACGCAACTCAGCAGACCTCCACATGAACTAGCCTCCGGCCGTGGGCAGTGCGCCTGCAGCCTGGCAGCTCCGCACGGGACACAGCAAGTGCGTCTGCTCTCCAGACCCCACACAGGCCCAGGAGATTGCCTGAGAAGGTGGGTGAGGGAAGGGCGGGAGCCGAGGCCCTGTGGTCGCTGGCAGATACAGGCCTGCGCTTGGATGACCCCAACACTCCATACTGACTGCTGGGACCCGAGAACACTCGGACACAGCAGCAGGACACAAAACCAACACACACACAACCAGCGAGTATATGCAAGCCGGGAGGGAGGTCAAGAAAGAATCTCATTCACAATATTCTTGAAAGGGAAGGAAGGGAGGGAGGAAGGGAGGGAGGGAAGGAGGGAAGGAGGGAGGGAAAGACTAGCAATGTGATGATAGTCTTCTATAATGTTCTCAACAAGACAATAGGGTGAATTTGGGGCTAGTGGTCCTGAGATTTGAACTCAAAGCCGAGGTCACTGTCCCTGAGCTTTGGTGCTCAAGGCTGGTGCTCTACCACTTGAGCCAGGCTCCACTTCTGGCTTTTTGGTGGTTAATTGGCATAAGAGTCTCATGGACTTTCCTGCCAGGGCTGGCTTCAAACTGCAATCCTCAGATCCCAGCCTCCTGAGTAGCTAGGATTAGACCGGTGCCAAGCTTGAGATGAGCATTTTTATCAAATACAAGTCAGGTTTCCAGTGGCCAAGCCATGGGCTCTTGGCAGACCAAGGTGCCCATCCGCAGAGCCTCAGGGAAGTAAATGAGCCACACACGCACTGCATGGGCTGTCTGCTTTCCTTCTACAACAACTCTTGTAACTTTGACCCAATAAAAGAAGATCTTTTTTCCCCCTTTCCTCCTTTTCTGTCTTTCTTTCTGTCTGTCTGTCTCTGCCATGGACCCCTGGCCCCATTTCTGTCTCTGTCACTTTTCAGGCGAAGTCTCAGGCTTTGGGCCTGGGTTTGGTCTTGGACTGTGATCCTCCTGGTTCCGTTTCACTTGCAGCTGGGATTACAGGCTGGATGATTCTGTCTTAACCTTTTGTTGTTGTTGAGCGGGGGTGCCACTGTTTTCCTAGGCTGCCTTGAACTGTGGCCCTCCACAACACCTCCCCCTGCGTGGCTAGGATGGATTACAAGCATGATGACAGCCAGAGCCCGGATGTTCCTTGTCTATGGCCTGTACCACACGCTCCGTTGCATGCAGGAGACAAGACAAAGTCTGCTCTGCGCAGACCACTGCGTTGTTCTGCCATTTGGCTATGGTGAACAGCACTGGGATCTTTTTTGTCCAAGTATGTCTTTGGATATCTGGGCCCAGTTCTTTTGGCGGGGGGTGGGGGGGTGGGGGTTGGGGTGGGGGGGTGTCCCTTCTATACCCTGACATACCACAATGAGGGTGACAAGCAGCCTGGAGACAGGAAAAGGTTCCTCTGTCCATGGCTGATGATCTCATGAAAATACCCCGGCCCACTCGTGCCCTGGGACAGTTCCCTGTAACTGTGCAGGTTGGACAGCAGAGGGCGCCAGGAGCCCAGCTTTGCGCTGGATCAAGCCATAATGCACTGGGCATGCCCTGGGCCACTCTGGGTGCCCAGAGACCAAGCACCCCAGAAACCAGACTTTGAGGCCTCCCAGCATCTAGACCCGTGGCCCACAAACCACTCAGGCTTGATATGGATACTGCCCCACTCGAGTCCTGTGAAATGGGATCTCCCTCCCTCCCAGCTCCTCCTCTGCCCCCTCCTGGGAGACCCTGCTTTCTCTGAGCTTGGGAAGCAGCCACCCCTGTGCCCGGGCCCCCGGACCTCACAGCGGTGGGAGGCCTGGCTGAGAAGCAGTCCTCAGCACTCTGGGGCGGGGGGCGTTTGCAATCCGGGTTCACCATCCAGGAGTGGACAATGGCGGGTCCCCACCCCCAGAATGCTGCTCCTCCAGTGCCCGGACGCTGGGCACCACAACTGCACTCCAGATCTGCACCTGGCCCCACTCTGACTGATATGCTTGGGCACAGGGTGGTGCCACATGGGGCCCTGGGTGCCTGGTGGGTGCTCAGGCCCCCAGCACCTGACCTGCTCACCTCTGGGGGTACCCTGGCTGCACCCCAGCCCCAGGTGACAGCCTCCTCTGCCTCCAGCCTTGCCCTCCAGCGCGACCTTCTCAGTCCTGATGGTTTCACGCCGTGTGGGACCCACAGCTCTGCTCTGGGTGAATTGCTTCAGCCCACTGGCAGGAGCAAATCCTCCGGCTGTGGAATATTCTGGAGCCTGGAGTTTACAAAGTCTAAATGCTTTTGTGTTTTCCAGCTGAGAACCAGAGGCTCAGCTCTGCCCCTGCGCCTGGCCCACCCCATCAGCTGAGCTGGGTACAGGGCAGGGGGTGGGGCAGGGGGCCAGGGGGAGCCAGGGAGGCCGCCTGAGGCTGGGCAGGGGCTGTGATGGGGAAGGTGAGTGCTCTGGAGACAGGTAGGTGGGGTCTGCCATGAGGGATAAGGCACGCGCTGAACTGTCCACGCGTGAGGTCAGCTACTCAGCCAGCAACGGGACGCCTGTCCCTGGGACTGTGAGGGACTCTCAGGCAGGGCTCAGCCTGGGGAGTCACTGGGATTACAGGTGTGAGCCACCAGTGCCCAGATGAAATTCTTTTTAAAGGGATAGCAATGGAGGGGGTGAATCTGGTCAGTGTGCCTTGTAAGTCAACATGATGCGTCTGCAGGAAAGCCCCTGGTACAACCAAGAGTTGCTAAAAAGGAGGAGGGGGAGAAGAGCAAGAAGAGGGGGAGAAGAAGGAGGAGGAGGAGGGGGGGGGAGAAGGAGGAAGAGGGGGGAGGAGGACGGGGAGAAAGAGGAGGAAGGGGGAGAAGAATGAGGAGGGGGAGAAGAGGAGGAGGAAAAGGGGAGGGGGAGGAGGAGGAGACAGCATTGCTGTTGCGGATGGCGGTCCTGACCCCAGGCCCCTCTCAGCAGCTGCTGGCCCTGGCCCTCCCTGGCTTGGTCAGCCAACCTGCATCTGCACTTTGGCATCTCTACCACCAGGTGTCGCTGGAGGATGTGGAATCGCCCGTTCTGTGCAGCCTAGCCCGTCACCCTGAACTAGGAGTTTGCAGGACGCCAGTCGCCCCTGGTCCCCTGGCAGAGGCCTTGAGCAGGTGCCAATTGTCCATGTTCCTGCGCCAGATCAAGTCTGTCCACATCTCAGCCTCCTGCTGGTCCCGGGTCTTGAATCCTGTGCTGTGGGGGAGGAAGAAGAGGAGGCACACAGATATCTGGGTTTGACCCGTTACAGTCCAAAAAAAAGCAAATGATACATAAACATAACCAAAGACATTTCCAAACCAGAACTGTGGAGTTTCTGCACGCATGCCACTCTCAATGCCGTCCATCCCATTACTTTGTTGACATGAGGTGATCACCCTTGGCATGGTGAAAGTCTGCCCCCATAGAAGCAGGGGGTCCTCCCTCCAGGGTCCAGTCAGAAAAAATGATGCAGGATTAGATTAACGGAGGAGGAGGCGGCCACAGCCCTGCCCTGCTTGGAGGGGGACAAGCTGGGGACCAGCCACCCCTGGGCCAGCTCAGCAGAGACATCCTGCATGTCACCTGCCATTTTCAGGTGGTTTTCATCTACAAAGGAAAAATGGTGGCGAGTCAAGCACTGGTGGTTCACACCTCTAATCTCAGCTACTCGGGAGACTGAGGATGGAGGTTCAAAGCCAGCCCAGCAGGAAAGCCCATGAGACTCTTATGTCCAACTAGCCAGCAAAAAGCCAGAAGTGGAGACATGATTCAAGTGGCAGAACACCAACCTTTAGCTAAGGGAGAGTATGGGACTCTGAATTCAAGACGCAGTCCTAAAATAAATAGTGGAAGATGTTCACATGGAATATTGCTTCGCGTGGAGTCCCTGGGGTGGGTCTACCCGGCTGTAGCCTTCAGTGTGGTTGACACTGGTGGCAGCTGCTGCCCCGCGCCCTGCCCTCGGTTGTGAAGTAAGTCATCAGGAGGAGCCCACCATGCCTCCACAGCCGTCCTGCAGTTCTGGTGCCAGGGGTGAGGCTCAAAGTGGGGACCCGCTGGGGCAGAGTGCAGCTCACATCCTGTGGAGTCCACGCACCCCCACAGGACTTGGGGTTCACACATCGCTCTGTAAACCCTGTGCAATGCGGAAAAACAACCAGCAAATTCCAAACCAGAACAGTCTAGAAAATCCGAATCTGAATTCTTTAAAACCACTAAGGTCGTGTGTGTGTGAACATGTCCTGGTTTGGGAGGGTGGGTAGGCCGAGACGATGGCTCAGCATGGGGTTTGTAGACAGGGCCCGGGCAGGGGGGTATGATGGGGAGAAGAGGGGGGGAGGTGGGGGACCCAGCTGTGGTCATGAGAGGAGACAGGTCCTCGGGGCTCAGGCCTCAAGAGCGGACAGAGCCAGGGCTGATCTTTCTTGTGACAGAGCGGCTGGGCAGTTGGGGGCAGGGGGAGGGAGGAGGCCCAGCCTCACCTCAGATCATGGAACCCAGACCTCTGAGGGAGTTTGGGGGGGGGGAGGTCTTGAAGATGGTCCTCCCACTTCCTGGAGTCCTGAGTTCTGAACTTGAGGGTTTTCTCTGGCAATGGGAGACTGCCAGGTGACGAACGAGGTTGGCAGTGAGGCTGTGGGGTGCTGGCTCCCAGACTTGTCTCCCTTTGGGGAGCAGAGTGGGGGCCTCTATCATTTCTCTACACCCCTGAAACTGCTGTGGAGCCCTGGGGAAGGCGGTGGGCCTGCGGGAGGATGTACAGAGGCAGAATGACCGGATTTCCAGTAAAAGTGGGAACGGAGGGCCAACCCACCGGAGCCCAGCCCGCCCGAGGCCCCGCAGCCACAGAGGCACAGACACGGTCAAGGGCCCCGGCCAGGCGTCCATCCTGCCGCCCAGGGCCTGAGTCTTTCATCCACCTGTCCTTGTCTTGTCCAGGCCCCGCCCAGCCTATCAGCCCAGACCACGCCCCAGGCCCCTCCCATGACCCACCTGAGCAGTCCTGGGGTGTTCTCCCATCCCCACCTTCCCTGCTGTAGTTCCAGGTCAACTCCAGCTCCACCAACAAAAAGCTGGGCGTGGGGCTGGGAAGATGGCTCCGTGATAGAGTGTTTGTTGTGCATGCATGAGGCCCTGGGCTCCATTCCTCAGCACCACGTAAGCAGAAAAAAGCCAGATGTGGAGCTGTGGCTCAAGTGGTAAAGTGCTAGCCTTGAGCTGAAGAGCTGAGGGACAGCAAAAAAGCTGGGTGTGGTGGCACAAGCCTGTCACCCCAGCCACGGGGAAGTCTAAGTAGGAGGATTGAGATCCAGGCTGGCCCAGGGAGACCCTATTTGAAAAGTATCGGATGAGAAAGGGGCCGGTGGCATGGCTCAAGTGGTATAGCACCTAACTGACAAGTGTGAGGTCCTGAGTTCAAACCCCAGTATGGCCAAAATGAGATGAAGACTACAGTAAGGTCTGGCTGTTCTAGGAATAGCTCATAGGAGCACCAAACAGGCCCACCTTCTAGAGGCCCGACTGTCCCCATTGCTCAAGGCCACCCAGCATCTGAACCCCATTTCTGTATAGGGAGGCTGCCCATTTTCTGGGCTGTAGTCAGTAGCAAGGCCATCACTATGGAGATGTGAGATATCCATCAGCCACTCTGACTCCCCTTTCAGCACAGCTGGACCAATGCCCTGGGGTCCCCCTCTTTGCTTGGGAAGCCAGTGCTGTGAGAATCAGGCCCGGGCCGGCTGAGCTGGGTCCACCTCAGGGTAACCCTTTAGCACCCAGAGACAGCAGAGGTACAGGTTTCCGGGCAACACCAGCGCTCATGCTCAAACTGAGCACCTGAAAACAAGAGGAATTGTGGTCCAGACCCAGGCACGGGCAGGAGGTAAGACCTATCTCACCAGTACCCCCAAAAGTACCCACCTAGAGATCGTGAGGTTCTGAGTTCAAATCTCAGCACAGCCTGATGCACGAGCCCAGCCTTTGCTTTCAGCAAAGCCTCCCTGAAGAGGAAGCCAGGCGGCAGGACGTGGTCTGGATGATGCAGTGTGAAGCTGTGCTCGCCTCTGGCCACGCCACGCAGACGGCCCGACCCCAGCGCTCTGCGGCTGCCTGACCCGGACACGCCCCAGCTGCTGCCTTCAGGGTCTGAGCTGTCTCAGGACTGCAATTAATTTTAATCAGGAATCTGCATTTGCCATTCAAGCCGATTATTCTCAATTAGGTGATGGTGTATTTTATTTCATTATCAACTGGTTGTGATTACCTATTACCACGTCAACTCTATGTTTATGGTAATTTCATTAATCAGACAATGCCTGCTGTGCAAAAGCCGGGTTTCACTCCGAAGGGAGGGGTGCTCAACTCGGTTTGGGCCCCACAAAAGCCGTGGTGTCCACACTGGCCTTGGGATAACACAGATCCCACACTCAGGGGCAAGACAGGGTCTGAGGAGATGAGGTCTCCAGATGTGGAGTGAGCACCGTGGGGAAGTGGGGAACATGTCTGTGCCAACCCGTGCCCGTCCTGGGCTTGTCCTGGGCCAGTGTTGGCCAGTCTGTGCCTGTCCTGGGCCGATCTCCACCTGTCTGTGCCTGTTTGGCCTGTCTGTGCTTCTCCCTGGGGGACAGGGTGTGAGCCGTGTCCAGCACCGTCCATTCCTCACTGGGCAGACTTGGGGCATCTTCTGTGGAGCAGCTTGGCCCTGCACTCCCCCACCCAGCCTCCAGGTGGCGCTGGGTAGTGACTCCCATCATTAACGCCCCGATTGCAGCAGGCAGGCAGGAAGAGCAGGCTGCTTGAAGACAGGCAGCAGAGGCCACGCCTCTCTCTTGGCTCCATTTCAGGGTCACATCACACACCTGTGGTGGCTGTTCTCAGCCCCATGGGGGGGGGTGCTGGGCCCAGTGGGGCTGTTTGGAGGATCTCCAGGAGGTAGGCCCTATAAGACGAGGGAGGGACTTAGTGGAAGGGCTGGTAATGGGCCTCCTGCTCAGGAAGAATGGATGTGTGCTCTTTCCAGAGTGTGCCAGGTCTGTAGGACTGGTTTAATTCTCACAAAAGCGGGTCGTTAATCAACCAACAAAAAAACTCAGAGCCTGACCCTGCCTACCCTGTCTTTTGCTTCCTGGCTCACAAGTGAGGCTCTTCTGCACACTGCCCTTTCTGATGATCTGCCCGGGGGGGGGGGGGGAGGCATGCAGCAGCTACTCACTCTGGAGGAGTTGCAGGTTGGGTGTTGTCTTGCATGCCTGCAATCCCAGCCACTCGGAGTGGGAGGTAGGAGGATCATGGTATGAGGCTGGCTGGACCCCAAGTACAAGATCCTATTTGCAAAATACCAAGAGCAAGAAGGACTGGGGATTTGGCTCCAGCGGTAGAGCATCTGCTTAGCAAGGGAAAAGCGCTTCCCAAAAAATGAGTAGCATGGTTTTGTCACTGAGGGAGTTGGGGGGGGGTCTGGGGCCCGTTACCGTGGAATGTAAAGTCTGGATCCTGACAGCAGTGGCTGGTCACAGCCTCTGTGATGGAGCCTCAGCAGTTCCACCCCCTCCTCCGGCTGAGCCCTGGGCCCTAGAGCCCTGCGGGTGACACTGTGACAAACGATGCCGCAGGGCCCCTCGGCCACTGCCCCGGGAGAGCTGCATGTGTCCGGGCCTGGAGCCGTTCCCAGGCTGCTCAGAGCCCACCAGAAACTGTGTTTTGTTTCCTGTCATTTCTGCTCCACATCTACCACGTGACATATGACCTCACCTCGGCCCCTATGGGGTTTCCTGGCCCCTGGGGCTTGTGCCCTTTGTGGGCCGGAGGGTGCGTGGCTGAGCGCCAGGTGCTGGGCTTGGCATGGGCATACCATGGCACCTGCCCATCTCTGCTCCATTTTATTCTGTTTCCATGTGGGAGGGAGCAATGTGTGTGTGTATGTGTGTGTGTGTGTGTGTGTGTGTGTGTGTGTGCTTTCATGCCTGGGGCTTGAACTCATGACCTGGGTGCTGTCCCTGAGCTTTTGTGCTCAAGGCTAGCACTCTACCATGAGCCACAGCGCCACTTCCAGTTTTCTGGTGGTTCACTGGAGATAAGAGTCTCACGGACTTTCCTGCCTGGGCTGGCTTTGAATCGTGATCCTCAGATCTCAGCCTCCTGAATAGCTGGAATTACAGACGTGAGCCACTAGCACCCATTGTAATTTTTTCCTTTTTTGGGGGGGAGGGGTCCGGTCGAGGGGCCTGAACTCTGGGCCTGGGCGCTGTCCCTCAGCTCTTCAGCTCAAGGCTAGTGCTCTACCACTTGAACCACAGCGCCACTTCCGGCTTTTTTTCTTTTTGCTTATGTGGTACTGGGGAATCGAACCTAGGGCCTCATGCATGCAAGGCAAGTGCTCTACCACTGAGCCACCTTCCCAGCCCCTTTCCATTGCAAATTTTTAAACTCCTTTAAAGGATATTCTAGAAAGGGGTTCAGCTGAACATCTTGGTTTCTGAGCATGAACACGTCTTGATTGCTGGATGCTGGCGCAACTCTGTGTAGAGGAGACTGCTGTGCATTGATTGGCGGGGGGGGGGGTGGATTTCACGTGAGGTTGCAATTGTGCTCCAATGTACTCGAGGGCGTCTTTCCCGCTCCTGCAGCCCGTGCCTTGCAGCCAAGGCAGACATCACACTGGAAGTGCAGCCGGGAAAGAGGCCTGCGGTCCCAGCAGAGAGCCCTGTGTCCTCAGTGCCAGGATGCCGCCCGCTCACACGGCCTGCTTGGGCCGCTGAGAGCATCACTGAGCTGGACGAGGAGCATGTGTCTGCTGGCCCGGGGCAGGGCCCAGTGTGCGTTCTCATCTTGTCAGGACAGGCCGGCCCTGCTCAGCATGGTCCCCAGACAGAGAGTCTCACGTTTGATGCACCTGCCCTGGCCTGGCCCAGGGACAACAGAGCTCCGCCTCCTCTTCCTCTTCCTCTTCCCGAGGGAGGGCTACAGCCCTGCGGTCCTGTCTGCCGTGCACATGCTGCATGCACCAGGCCTCTGCCTGGGGTGCGTGGACATGAGAACGGTAACTCAACTGATCTGTCAACCCGGGGATACCAAAGGAAAACGGACAGAGGAGAAGCGAACAGAAGTGGACAGAAGGGAATCAGACAGAAGGGAAGAGTGGAAGTGATCCTTGCTGGGCAGTAGAGGAGGGGCCATCGTGCGAGGAGGAGGTGGGGCATGTGTGGCCCAGCACACCACCAGTCCCCTCCCCTTGATTCAGTGGGGACAGGCTGGCTCAGTGGATCCTGGGGCGGGGGTGCATCATTCCCTGGGGTGCACCAACTCCCAGAGCTGTGCCCACCATTAAGGTTACCTGGCACTCCATAGAGCCCGCTCCTCCCTTCCTCCTTCCCTTCCTCCTTTCCCTCCCTCCCTTCCTCTCTTTGCTTTCTTCGTTCCTTTCTTCCTTCTTTCCTTCTTAACATCCTTCTTTCTTTTATTGACATATATTAATTGTATAAAGGAAGGAAGGAAGAGGAATAGAGGAAAAAATAAGGGAGGAAGGAAGGAAGGAAGGAAGGAAGGAAGGAAGGAAGGAAGGAAGGAAGGAAGGAAGGAGAGCAGCCATCTATCTTGGCCTGTGGCTTCTGAGCCCCAGGCTCCTTCCTTATACATGGCGCCGTGCGCAGCCTTTTGGTGATGGTGGAGATTCAGTCTCTGTGATGTTTCCCTCCAGGTTGGCTTTGCTCCTCAACTCTGTGTCCAGGAGGCTGGGGGACAGGCGTGAGCTGGCTCAGTTCTTCCCTAGGGTCCCCATTTCCCAACACAGCCCCTCCTTTGGCCCCAGGGGGTTGGAATAGCAACACAGAAGCAGGGGCCACAGCCCAGCTCCGGCACCAATGCCGGGAAGCGGGCTGGCTTCTTCTTTGAGTGCTATATCCGGGTCGTGTGGGTGATTGGAAACCGCTAGTCAGTGTCAGGACCTGGCCCAGAGCAGCCTCACCCCCCCCCCACCAGCTTCTGCCTCCACATGGAGCTGGGTTAACAGGGCTCATCCAACACAGTCATGTGGATGAGATCCATCCAGGCTGGGAAGTGAGTGACCCACGCGGTTCCATACACGGAGGGCCGGGGACGGGTCCCAGAAGCCCTGTGATGTGGCTCTGGGCAGACACTGGTGGTCTCAGGAGGGGAATCGCACGGGACACACATTGCTCGGCACACTCGGTATCTACAAGCTTCGCAGAGGGAAGCAACTCATGCCCGGCCTCCTGGCATCCCGTCCAAACGGCTGGAGCTCTTCCTGGACTTCGTTCTTGAAGCACGCATCCTCAGTACAGATAGTTTTGTGTTTTCCCTGCTGGGTTTCACATTTTCAATGAGCTTGAAGGTTTGTTTTGTACATCGGTGGATATGTAAAATACATGCCGCAAGAAAAATAAATACACGCAGAACGAAGCCTGTGCAGAAAACATCATACATTTTTAATCTCTCGTCCCTTTATAAACCAAATTCATCAGAAACTTACTCAGCCAGGGGGTGTGGGGGGATGGGGAGATGGGGGTGGGGGGTACGGGGGTGGGGGGTGGGGGGGAGGGTGCCTCAGGCCTGTGATCCCAGCTATTCGGGATGCAGAATTAAGAAATAAAGTCAAGCTAGACAAAAACAAAAACAACCCCTATCCCCACCCCACCCCCCAAAAAACCCCAAGGGGTTTTACACACAAACTGGATGTCACAAGCCATTTTAAAACAAGCTGGATGTCATAGTGCATACCTTTAATCCCATCATCACCACCATCACCACCATCACCATCATCACCATCATCACCCTCACCACTGGCTGTGTGGTATTGGGCATTGAACTTGGCTCACGCCTCAAGTCCTTTCAGATTGCATCTCACTTTTTGCTCAGCTGGCCAGGACATCAGTTCGAAACTTCCCAGGCAGCTGGAATGACAGGCATGCTCCACCATACCCTGCTTCCGTTGCATTTGTTGGTTGAGATGGGGTTTTCTGAACCTTTTGCCTGGGCTGACTTCAAGTAATCCTCCAGGACTCTGCCTCCCTAGGAGGTGGAATTGCAGGATGAGCCCCTGGCTGGCCAGTTGCTGGGCTGCATCATTCCTCTGTGAGGATGGGAGGACTGTGTCTCCATGTTCCCCACGTGCAGGTGGCCAGTCAGCTGCCTGAGGTCCGTCTGCGTGGCTGGCAAGCACAGATCCAAGAGGATCCTCGCTCTGTCCCGCACATTAGCGCTCTCCCAGGCAGCAGGGACAGTGAAGGCAGGGCGGTACCAGTGTCGGCTTCACCATGGGAGGAAGAAGGTCGGGGAGCCAGGGGCTTGGGCCTGCTACTTGGGAGGTGGAGAGCAGGGAGACCAGTTCAAGGCCTGTTCCGACAAAAATAAGGATGTTAAGAACCCATCTCAACCAGTGGCTGGGCACAGTGGTACTGCCTGCCATCCAGCTGTGGAAGGAGCACAAACAAGAGGATCGCAGTCAGGGTCAGCCCTAGGGAAGAAAGGGAGACTGTATCTGAAGTCTTGGGGCATGGGTATGGGGAGTGTCTGAAATACTGGGACATGAGGGTGGGGTGTGTTCTGGGAAGAACTGTGGGGGCAGATGACTTTCGGGGCTGCTGCCTGACCATGCTGGAAAGGGAACCGAGCCTTTCCTTGGTCAGGAGCCAGTGTGGGGGCCTTGGAGTCGGTAATACCTGCCAGGGGGCACAGAGGAGAGAGGAGGGAGAGAGGAGAGGGAGAAGGGGAGAGGGGAGGGTGGGAAGGGAAGAGTGGAGGGGAAGAGTGGGGAGGAGGAGAGGGAGAGGAAAGGGAAGGAAGAAGGGGAAGGGGGAGGGGAGGAGGAAAGGAGAGAGGAGGGCTGAAAGGGAAGGGGGAGAGGAGAAAGGAGGGGTGAGTAGGGAGGGGAAGAAGAGAAGGGGAGGATTAGGGAAGGGTAGGGAGGGGGAGGGGAAAGGGAGAAGAGAGTGGAGAGAGTAGGGAAGGGAGAGGGAAGGGGGAGGAGGGGAGAGGGGAGGGGGGTGCAGGCAGGCCGACTTGCACACAGGGTGCGTAGGTTTCAGTCCACAGAGGTGTCTCCGTGTGGTGGGCTGGAGTGGGGTGGGACAGCATGGAAGAGGGCAGCCGGGAGGAAAGCCGCTCCTCTCTCATGGTGGCCAGGATGCAGAGAAAGCAGAGGAGGGGAGGAGGTGGACCTGGCGCACCCTGCCCTCGCTCTTCCCCGCCAGGCCCCTTGGCACGCAGCTTGCTGAGAGCCTGTGTGCTGCTCCCCTCTCCACCCTGGTCCTGACTGGAGGAGGCAGGTGAGGACCTCTGCCCACTGTGGAGGAGCTCTGCCTGTCCCCCTCCCCATCTGCCCAGTCAGGTGGAGCATCCATCAGCCGAAGGCGCCGAGTGGATGCAGACCCGACCCCCACACAGTGGTTGGTTGCACGGGACGCAGGGGCCCTCACGGGGCAGTGGACGTCAGGGCCTTGGCTGGCTTCGTCCTCCAGGGCTGACATTGGCCCTGACACCATGGACAACCAGGGCAGAGCTTTCTGGTGCGGTTGGTTTGTGGTTTGTTTGTTTCTGTGCTGGGGCATTGGGACAAAAGCAACACGCAGAACTCGGCTGAGTGCTCAGCATTGAGTTTTCTCCCCCCACGGAGCCCAGGGCGCTTGGTGGAGGTAGGAGTACCATTCGCTCTCCCTTCCAGAGCCTCTACTCCCAAAAAAAGATGTTGGCTTTTGGCAGTCGGTTTCCAAAAAAAGAAAGTTGGTGGAAGTGACGTCTGCAGAGAATTTTAGGGCAGCAGAATTGCTAGACACCATCACCCTTAAAAGAAATCCCTTGCCAAAGAGCTTGGGCTCTCTGGCTGCTGTGTGACATTCCTGTCACCTCTCAGGTGCACCAGCAGCCAGCATGGGGGTGAGAGTGACAGGGACAAGGACACACAGCCAGGCCAGCTGGCAGTGATGTCTCACACACACACACACACACACACACACACACACACAAAACCAGCACCAACACCTCCTCCAGGTGGCCCATCCCTCCCGCCCCCCCCTCCCCTCCCTGGCCTGCAGCCATCGCTGAGATATTAGGTGTTGCAATGGCCAGGAAGCAGCAATGATTGGTGAAGAGCAATAGGGAGCAAACTCCAGGGTGATTTGTCTTCATATAAAAGCAATCTTTTCTCCAATATACATGTTTGCTGTGGACAGCACACCGTGACGTTAGGGTTGTGAAACCCAGAACGTCTTCATCCGGACACAGCTATGATAAAGAATTCTGCGAGCAAGGCGCCAAGCGATCCATCTCTGTCCTCTTTCCTGGCTCTCTGCGAAGAACGTAGCTCCAGAAGAAGCATCCCGGGTATATTATAAGCCTAGGTGTTTTAAAAAAAAATAACTGCTATATGCAGTCTAGAAAGCTTTCTGGAAATCACACAACCTGTTTCTTGATTTATGTGTCTTTAAATATTAATGAGTTGAAGTGATGGTTTATGTAGTTATTAATCATTTATGTATTCACCAATCAATTGTTTACTTCCCCTGTCCATTTCCATTGAGTTTATAAGAACCTTTCATTTGAATAAGGCTGCTGTTGGTGGCTAGGTGCTCTGGCTCCCCCCTGTCCACACAGCTACTTAGGAGACTTAGATAGGAGGATCTCAGTTCGAAGCCAGCCTGGGCAGACAAATCTGAGAGACTTGAATCTCTAATTAGCCAGGAAGCAGAGTGAAAAGGCCAAACTAGAGTCCAAAGACCCTAAGAACAAGCCCCAATATGGACACACACACACACACACACACACACACACGGATACCATTGATTACACAAAATTTCCTGCTTGTCTTTCAATGTTATGGATGTTTTGGTGTATAGATAACGTTAACGTTTTCAGGTATTGAAGTTTATCCAACTGCCCTCATGAATTCGTGGGTCATGCATACCCCTTGCTTGTGGCCTGCAGGCACTTAAGGTTGGGCAGCGTGTTTGAGGCCTTGTTGGGCACTGGAGGCCAGTGATGGTACACTGACCACGCTCCAGAGCCACCGATGTCACCACCACCATCACTACCACCACTGGCAGCAATGGTGGCTAACAGTGAGCCAGGCGGCCCACGCTGTAAATGACATTCATCCCCCACATACAGCTACTATCTCCGTTCTCAGTCCTTGAAGGAGAAAAGCCAAGGAATGAACCAGATCCTCCATGGCTGAACATGGCAGAGTGCAGGCAGATGGTGGTCAGGGAATACAGCTGGCCAAGGGCCTCAGTCTGTGTCTGACTTGAACCCACAACCCGAGCTCACCCCTCGGCTCCACTCCACGACTCTTCCCTATTCCACAACACTTGGCCTCTGTTTCACTAACTCCCAAGTCATTCTTTGCTGGACCTGGTGGAGTTTCACTCCGCTCATGTAGCTTCACAGACAAGAATCAGGGACACCCTACATGGACTTAAGGGGTACAGCTCCTGCCTTTCCAGAGCTCTGCCTCAACCTCCCTAAACTTCAGCATCAGTCTTCTGCATCCAGGGAGTCCTTGTGTCCCCTTCTCTTCACCTGTGGTGTGGGAAGGCCGGCGGTCTTGGGGTGCCTCTCTGGGATTCAGCTTGTGTTCCGTGGCCCAAAGCCTGCAGCGTGGCGTGCGGGAGCAGCAGACCCTGCGTGCGGGAGCAGCAGACCCTGCTTCTGCACACTGCGGCATTTCCTTTCATTGTCAGATGGGGAGAGAGCCCAACGTGTGCTTTCCTGGGGCTGTGCATGGACCCAGGCATCTCCCACTGTTCCTACAACGCAGGCCCTTGCTTCAAGTCTGCTCCTCATCGGGTCCTCATTCGACTGAGAGGCTCTGCCCCCATGGGGTGAAACCTGGCCTGGCCAGGCCCTGGCCCAAGCACACCTGCCCAGGCTGGGCCCACGAATTCACACCCCACCCCCGCCCTCTGGCCCGGCTGGACCCCAGGCCCCACACTGGTGTTCAGTTGGGACAGCTTTCATGGGAAGTTTTCCTATGGTTCTGTTGCTGGGCCTCGCCTCTCACTTGGCTTTTTCACTCGAGTCTAGCACTCTACCACTTGAGCCATGTCTCCACTCCTGGCTTTGGGACTTTCCTTCCCCAGGCTGGCTTTGAATCCTGATTCTCACAGCTCAAGCCCCTTGAGTAGCTGAGATTACAGAAGTGAGCACCAGCAGCTGGCTTTCAAGAGCTATTTTCAGTCACCAGAGTTTCTGCCTTGCAGAAGAACAGGGCTTCTGGTCCCTAGCTCTGAGGTTCTACCTTCTACCTCCTTCCAGAAGTTCCAGGAATCTTCCTTTGCGCTTCTAGGCCTGAGGCATGTTCCCAGAATGCACTGCCACCAGTGTGCACATTTACAAGCGTTTCCTCTCATGAGAACCAGGCCTGCGTACACCCAATGGCTGCGTTTCCCCCATTCCCTCCCTGACCGGCCTGGTGGACGTGGGATTGCGAATGTGGGCAGTGGGTTGAATCCCTCTCTTCCTGCGGCCAGGGGATGCACAGTGCAGCTCACCTTTGCTTTCCTGCTCCCATCGAAGCTGTGTCTGAGCTTCCCTGGCCAATGTCCTCCTCCCTGCCCATGTGGGGGACAGGAGCGCCAATGGCTGATGGCCTCGGGCCAGCCCAGCACAGCAGTACCTGCGCCCGGCGCCTGAGGTCTGACATTCTCCAAGGGCCTGTGTGGGGCAGGGGGGTGTTCTTTTGGTTGGCACTGGGATTTGAACTCAGGACCTTGTGGTTATTAGGTAAGTGCTAGACTACTGAACCACACCTCCAGCCCTTTTGGGGGCTGGTCTTTGTTTTGGTTTGTTTTTAAGATAGGGTCTTACCTCCTGCCCAGGAACACCTGGACTGTAATCCTGCTTTAGACCTCTCATTTTAGCTGGGATGGCAGGTGTACCCTACCATGCCTGGCTATGGGTCAAAAAGGGTCTTGTGGACTTCTCTGTGCTAGCTGGCCTGGAACCATGAGCCTCCCAACCTCAGCCTCCCAGTCAGCTAGGATGACAGGTGTGAGCCCCGAGGGCCACGCTGTGCTCTTTAAGTACCACGCCGTGTGGGAGCTTGAGTAGAATGAGCCTGCCGTTCCTGGGCCTGCCCTGGCTCACTGCTGCCTCCACAGGGCATCTGGAGTGAGGCTGGCCCTGGCTTCTGGAGTTCATTGCTGCTCCCGCCCATCAACACCAGCGAAGCCCTCTGGAGAAGAGGCGGAGACTCAGGATTTTTTTTTTTTTTTGGCAGTTATGGGGCTTGAACTCTGGGCCTGGGCGCTGTCCCTGAGCTCTTCAGCTCAAGACTAGCGCTCTACCATTTGAGCCACAGCGCCACTTCTGGTTTTCTGGCAGTTCATTGGAGATAAGAGTCTCAGGGACTTTCCTGCCTGGGCTGGCTTTGAACTGAGATCCTCTCAGCCTCCTGAGTAGCTAGGATGACAGGTGTGAGCCCCCAGTGCCCAGCAGGAATCTTTAAGATTTTTCCAGCTTGGTGAAAATGTTTCTGCAGGTCAAGAAGAAGGAGCAGGGGAGGCAGAGCCGGGCTTGCGGTGGCTGTGCAGCGGGGGAGGAGGTGGTCGAGTTAAGATGAGGAGCACGGGGATCCTCAAACGCTGGAGTTTCCTCCCTCGGGATTTTTGAGATGGGGTCTTTGAGCAGCCCAGGTTGGCCTCGAACTTGCTCTCCCCCTGGTCCAGTCTCCCAAGCCCAGGTGTTACAGGCACGTGCTACTGTGCCTGGCTGGGTGGGGGCTTGTCTGTTGGGTTGAAATCCCCCCGGGGGGTGCTGGATGTTTCCCTGTGGAGTGGGAGGGCCAGCGGGAGGGAGCACTGGAGAAGGAGGAGTTTTTCCTCACTCACCATGCTGTGAGAGTGAGAGTTCTGTGAAGGTGCTAAGTCGCTGTGCGTTCTCTATTCCCATGCACGTGCACCACCTGCCATTATGGAGGTAACACCAAGGGTATTCTTGGGGTACTGCAGGGGATAGAATGCACACCCTGCCCCCGGTGCCACCCTGGCACCACAGAAATAAAGACATGGGAAATGGAGTGATGTGCTAGCCACCAGTGACTCACACTGAGAACCCTCCAACCTGAGGACCGCAGGTTGAAGCCAGCCTGGACAGGAAAATGCACGAGACTCTTAGCTCTAATTAATCAACAGAAAGCTGGAAGCAGAGCCATGACTCAAGTGGTGGAGCACCAGCCTTGAATGAAAAGAGTTAAGGGACAGCACTCAGGCCCAGTGTTCAAGCCCCAGTAATACACGCACACACACATGCATGCACACATAGACCTGCAGGCACACGCAGACAGGCACGCACACATGCACACACACGGCACAGCTCCAGTGTGGCTTGGTAAGGAAGAATTAAGATCAGGGCCGGTGAGGCAGCTGGGGAGAGGCAGGGATCCCTCCCTGATGCCCTCAGTTTTGTTTTTGTGGCCAAAACATCTGGAGAACAGCGATACTTAGACATTCTGCAGCCGCCAGGCAAGTGTTTGGCAACCAGGGGAAAATCTACCTCCAGGCGTCTGTGCGCTGTACCCCCAGAGAACTGGGGGGTGGGGGCAGGGGCAGTGGTGGGCAGGGACAGGGGGACAGGAGCAGCAGGGAAGGGGAAGAGGGGGTGCACGGGCAGCAGGGAGGGGGGAGGAGAAGTGGGGGCAGGTGTGGAGGGGGCGAGGGCAGGGTCTGGAATTATAGCTCATCCTGTTTCCAATTAAATGAACTTGGGGTAGGGCTGGGAGGGGACAGTGGAGGCCGCAAGGCCACACAGCCCTCAGGGACTCAGAGGAGCTGGTGTCTGTGGCCGTGGTCCTGCTGCATGTCTGTCCTTCTTCTCTGGCTGGGAGCAGAGCATGGGGCAGCTGGGCTTTCTCTGCCACTCTCCTGCCCAGGCCTGGGCTTGTGTGGCACCTCAGCACCTTGCTCAGCTGGCTTGGAGCATTCTCCCGTGGCCTTCCAGGGATGGGGGCTTCAAGGATGGAGGTTCGAGGGAAGGGGAGCTCTGGGGAAGGGGCGGAGCTCCAGGGATGTGGGACTCTGGGGACAGGAGGGAATCAAGGGATGGGGGGGGGCTCTAGGGATGGGGGTGTCCACCCTCCCTGGTCTGCACTCACCACGTGAGTCCAGCAGCCTGGCCCATGGGAGACGCCCCCAGCGGCAGCCTGGTATTTATAGCAGCTCTGCAGATCAGGCTTCCATGCTTTATAAAAAGGAGTTGATAACCCAGAGCTGCTAAATTTAAATGTGAAGAGGAAATCAAATATAGAATCTGGAGAGAGAAAGAAGCAAACAAACAAACACAATAACTATGGGGCAGAGCCTCCCTGGGCTGGGACTGGCGCTCCAGTGTCCATTGTCCAGGGCCAGGCTCATGCCCAGGCTGTTCCTAACGCAGTGGATACCCTCTGCCCACATTCACCAGGAATATGAGGCTGAGGAGAGGGGAGGGTGAAAGAGGGAGGGAGGGTAGGAGAGGGAGGGCAAGGGCAAGATTTACTCTTCAAGCCCAAGACTCTAGTGATCCCCTTCCTCCAAATTCACCCACTGCCACTTCCTACCCACCACACTCTATCATGAACGTTGGGGTGCCCCATAGATGATGACTGAGTGCCCCATGGATGTCGGGGCCTTATGGCTCACTAGGCATCCCCATTGTTGTTGAGGTATCCAATGGATGTTGGGGTGTCTTGTAGATGTCTGGATGTCCCATAGATGTTGGGGTGCCTCATAGATGGCTCATTGTTGACTGGGTCACAGCCCTCAGCCCTCCTTCTGGGCCCAGCCTTCCTTGTGGGGGTCCCCGGGGAGTGGCCCCATTCTCCTCTCCCACCCTGCAGATCCTGTGGGAGTTCACTGGCCTCTACCCTGGGGATGTTGTGCAGGATGACGGCTGCACTGGGGTATTCAGGCTGGGGCAGTGTCTGTGGAGATGCAGGAAGACAGGTTTGTAAGACGAGGGGGTGGGGTGGGCTAGAGGTGCTCTGAAAGGTGCCCCTGGGCCCCAGCTTGGTGTCCAAGGCGGGCAGACTTCCTTACAGAGTGGTGTGCGTACGTGTGTGCATGAGTGTGTGTGTGTGTGTGTGTGTGTGTGTGTGTGTGTGTGTGTGTGCTTGTGGCCAGTGTTCCCCAAGGCTCTGATTTGGAAAGAACCTTTGCTGTCATGAGCCCCTGTGCCTGAGAGATCTCCCTTACGGCGCTGGAGGCCATTTTGCTAGGGAAAGGGAGGGGAGGGGAGAGAAAATTGTCTATAAAGAAAAAAATAGAAAAAAGGAGGGGGAAACAATAGAAAAAGATGTAAGAACTAAGCAGGAAGGAGGTTTGGTGGCCCCTTGGCCATGCCCAGGGGGGGTCTTTCTTCAGCTCCGCGTGGCCTGAGAATGTCCCTGAGAATGTCCCTCTGGGGGTTAGCGGTCAGGCCACTGCTGTGAGCCCCAGAGGGCATGGAGGCACCCCATCTTCACCCATCAGCTCTTTGTCTGCAAGGGGAGGAGGCCGTGGAGGAGGAGGGAGGGATGGACAGAGGCCAGCCTGGCTGGAGCGGGGAGCTGGAAATGTTGATGACACCCCAAGGACCCAGTCTCCCCACCCCATACCCTCCCTGGATCCACAGTCTAGGCGGGGCCTGAGAATGGGAGGTTTGTCTGCAGAAATCCAGATGTGAGCTCACACAGCTGGCCAGAGGCCTCCTCACCCCACTGCTGGAGGCGATTCCCACTCCCGGGAGCTTATTCCCCGCCAAACATCTTCTAGGCCCCAATGTCGTGACATTCCAACGTTTCTGTTTTGTTTTGTTTTGTTGGAGACAGGGTCTCCCTAGGAAGCCAGGCTAGCCTGGGACTCAGGTCCTTCTGCCCCAGCCTCTGGGGTGCTGGGATTACAGGCATGTATTACCCCACTCAGCTCCTGCAGGGTTTTCATGTGGAGACCAAGGGGAGCTGTGGCCAGCAGGGAGAGAGGCCAGGTGGGGCTTGAAGGTGCTACCTGCATTCTGGCTCAGCCCCAGGCCACAGTCAGGAGGGGGCGATGCTGGCAATGGCTTCCTGGGAATGAACAGTTACTCCACACACAGCTGCAGGACTTCAGGGTATACCTGGCTCCGTACTCCTTCCTCCCTGCCTCCAGGACTCACGCACCCCCTGAATGGGCAGAGATGTCAGGGTTGCTTACGGCTTTGCCTTTGGTCACTGCGCCCAGCTCTGCCCTGCCCTCGGGGGACGTGAGTCCAGGCCTCCTGTGGGGATTTTCCAGGCAGGGCAGGGTGGAGACCCCACAGGGGGGCCCCCACAGGGGGACATGAACACCCCCGCTTCTTTCCCCAAGAAGGCTGGAGGAGGACCCCCAGCAGATGTTCAGGCTTCAAATAGTTTTTCCAGTTATTTTTAGATGTCTATTTTGTTTCCAGAAAGTTTTGATTTAAAAAATTCTTTTAAAGCTGTAGTAAGACAAGTGTCTGGAAGAGCCAGGCTCCGGGGGGTTCACGCCTGCCATCCCAGCCACTTGGGAGGCTGAGATCTGAGGATCACAGGTCAGAATCAGCTCAGGGAGAAAAGTCCATGACTTTTCTCATGTCCAACTAGACAGCAAAAAGTCAGAAGTGGAGCTATGGCTCAAGTGGTAGAGCACCAGCCTTCAGCACATAAGCTCAGGGACAGTGCCCAGGCCAGCAGTTCAAGCCCCAGGATTGGCACACAACAAAGAAGTCTGGCAGTCTCCAAGTCCAGGCCCCATGGAGGGAGCCGACGGCTGCAGACCCCGGAGTGGCCATCCTGTCCCCAGGGCTCTGGGGCAGCTGGAGCATCTCCAAAGGCAGCACAGGCCTGGGACAGCCACTGGGAACCATGGGAGGCAGGGAGGTCCTGCCAGGCACCGTGAGCATCACCTTCCCCATCACAACTGAACACCTGAATCTGGCTCCCAGGCCTTTGGTCGCCATGTCTCTGACCAGCCAGGCTGGTGCTAGATGACCCTGGACAATCCTGAGTGGCCCTGGAAGACCCTGGGTAGCCCTGGACGGCTTCTGTTCTCTCCTGGAGGTGACAGCTCACATCTTATCCTGGTATGTCGGGGGCCCACAGGGGCTGCAAAGCCTCCAGGATTTCCTGGGGCTCCTGGTGTACAAGGGAGGGAGGGGGTCCTGAGGCTCTGGTCTGTGGGGGCCTAGGAGTTCCTCTCCCCCATCTTCCAGTGCTCGGCTTTCTTGCTGCTCCTGTGTGGCTCTCACAGATGCAGATGCAGACCCTCAGGAAGATCCCCGGAATTTACTCACCCCCACTACCACGGAGGGAACTGAGACATGTTTCTTTTGGGAGAGCCAGGAATAATTGAGCACAGGGCCTCATGCTTATTGTTTGGCAGTACTTGGATTTGAACTCAGAGCTTTTCACTTGCTAGGCAGGTGCTCTACCACTTGCATCATGCCTTCAGCACTTTTTTGCCCTAATTATTTTTGAGATAAGGCTTGCTTTTTGCCCAGGGTAGGCAACCTTCCTCATCTCAGCCTCCTGCTCAGCTGGGATGAAATGCGTGTGACACCACACTTGGCTATGGGTTGTGACGGGCTCTTTGTGCCTGGGCTGGCTTTGAGCTGCATCTCCACCTTTTGAGCAGCTGGGATTACAGACATGAGCACCAGCAGCACCTGTGGTGCTTGTCTCTTGATCCCAGGATGCCTTGGTTCCCAGCTGAGAGAGTATTTTTTCCATCACAGAAATAAATCAAGGCACTGTGATAGACACATCGGTAGCCAGGTATTTTTGTTATTTCCCTTCGGCTTCAGAAGGAGCAGCACCCACTTAACTCACCTGCTCCCTGTTGCTTCCCCGGAGAAACTACGATGGCTGGGGTGAGGGTCAGAGCCGGGGACGCAGGCCGAGCCCAGACTCACTTCTGATGCTGCACGCAGTCACGACCATTCTGCAGCCCAGCGGCGCCGCGGGGTCAGGAGGCAGAAAGAAAAATAAAAGCCTGGTTGCACAATCGTGCTGAGTACTGGGACTCAATTTACAAAGCAGCGAGGGGCCCGGGGCAGGCACGGGGCCGAGAGGCTTGTATTAGAATGACATTCATGCCATACAGGGAGGTAATGAGTTTGGGAAGATGAAGCCGCCTCCCTGTGGCTGCACGCGAGTCTCCACTGGCTTCTGTCTCCTTCCCTCCAGGCTTCGTAGGCCTCTCCCTGCCGCTCCCGCCCCAGCAGCTCCCCAGAAAGCACATGGCCACGGGCAGCGTGGCTCATGGTGCTGATGACGCCAAGCAGGCTGTGGAACAGGACCGCCAAACACCCTTAGAAACCTCTGGAATCGTGGCCTGGGCCCCACACCCCTTCATGACGGACTTCCGTAAGGGCTCTGCTCCTGCATGGATGAATGGTGCAATGCTGAAAAGGTAATACTTGGAAGAAGGCCAAGGTCCCCCACCTCCCCCCCATCACCCTGCCCCCAAGTCCAGGGCCCCCAAGTTCAGGGACAGAAGTGCCCTCCGGGACAGCCAAGGATTGCCGAGGTTGGGCTGACCCAACAGCATTCAGTGCCTAGCGGAGCCCTCAAAGCTCCAGGCCTGCGACCCAAGGACCTGGCCTGCATGTCCACCCCAATGCAGGCCGGGCTCTGCGGCACCAGGCCCTGGGGTGCCCCACCTGCAGACTCAGCTTTCAGGCAACCCCAAGTGCCATGGCACCCCTCACTCCATCGCCTTGCTGGCTCCAGCACCCAGGGCTCCATCTGGGGCCAGGTTCATCCTGGAAGATCCCAGGTGCAGGCTGGCTGTGGCCACAGGCTCCAGACCAGCCCCTGTCCAGGGCTGCAGTAGATCCTAGGGCTGGACGGCCAGCCCCATGGCTGCAGGACACCCAGAGTTCAAATGCCAGGCCAATGCTGCAATGTGGCCCATACTAACTACATGCACTGACGTCAAATGCTCCGGGTTATGAGCAAAGACAAGTTTCTCTGTCTCTCTCTGTCTCTCTCTGTCTCTCTCTCCCTCTGTTTCCATATCTGTCTAGACATCTCCCTGTCTGTCTGTCCTCTGTCTCCCTGTCTGTCATCTGTCTGTCTGTCTGTCGTCTGTCTGTCTGTCTGTTGTCTCTCTGTCTCTGGTCCACTGGGCCTTACTCCCTGTTGGGACGAAGTCCCATTAACTTCAAATAGCATCTTTCTCAGAGAAACTTGAAAGCCAGACTTCGTTCCTACATCTTCTCATGGTTGTGTGCTTGGCTGAAGATGGGTAGTATTTGCATATCATTTGCATAATCTCTCCTTTTCTCAGACCATATGCTCTGAGAGGGAATAGCTGGGTTTATCCAATCACTCATCGAAGCTGCCACTTGGTTCTTGGCCTGTCCCAGAGCTCTAATATTTACTTGTTGAATGAATGAATGAATGAATGGAGTGATTTCCTTCTCCAGGCTGGGCTCCTGGATCTTCGGCCCAGGTTTCTGGCTCTGACTCTCCCTCAGCACTGTGTTAGCAGCCATCCTGAACAGACCAGGCCCTGGGCTGCCCGGTGTGCCCTGTGCTCCACGGGTCTCTGCATGTGTCTTACATTTCTCCTTGCCTGGGTCCCCTGTGTCTTACATTTGTCCAGCCAGAGGCGCCAAGACCAGAGAAGAGTGGTGCATTGCTCCAGAGGAAGCTCCAGTGCCGGGTGGACAAACCCACCAGAAGCATGCCTCCACCCTCAAAGGCCGCCTGGACGTGGATGAATGAACCAAACCCAGGGAACCGGGCACAGGGAAAAGGGGGTGTGGGCGGGGCTGGACAGTGCTCTCCAGAGACACAGGACCAACAGGATGAGTGGGGTGGGTGTCTGCAAGTGGGAATGGGGACACTGTGGCTCACACCTGTAATTCCAGCTGCTCAGGATTCTGAGACTGAGGATGGTGGTTTGAAGCCAGCTCAGGCAGGAAAGTTAGTGAGATGATTTTATTCTTTTTTTGTCAGTCATGGGACTTGAACTCAGGGCCTGGGAGCTGTCCCTGAGTTAATCTTTTGCTCAAGGCTAGCACTCTACCACTTGAGCCTCAGCGCCACTTCTGGCTTTTTCTGTTTATGTGGTACTGAGGAATCGAACCCAGGGCTTCATGCATGCTAGGCAAGCACTCTACCACTAAGCCACCTTCCCAATGAGACTCTTATGGTCAATGAACCACCAAAAAAGCCAGAAGTGGAGCTGTGACGCGAGTGGTAGAGTGCCATGTGAGAGAAAAGCCAGAAGAGAGCGAGAGGCTCTGAGTTCAAGGCTAGTACCAGCACCAAAACTGAAAAACAGAACCCCAAACCCCACAACAAAGCTCCAGCCTTTGGCGGGACAGGAATGGGGTTGCATGCATGAAGACACAGGCTGGGGCCCGGCAGGCAGATGCCCCTGCCCGGCCCTCTACCCGGCTCTGCCCAGCGCTCCACCCCTCTCACAGGCCAGGTCTGCCCTGCCTTCCAACACAGATGCCAGCTTCTCTCCGAAATGCCCACACTCACACACCCACCAGGTGTGGCAGTACAGTGCTGGGGCCAGGGTTTATGAAGAGAACAGAGTCCATCCTCACAGCCCCAAAGGGAGGCCTGTGGCTGGAGGGAGGCCCGGATGTGCTGTGCAGCCGCCATGCCGCACTGCCTGTCTCTGGTCTCGTGGTGACCGCCCTGAACTCTTGGCAGTGACTACTGTGACCTGGGCAGCGCAGAATCCCCCCGTGGTTTGGTTTGGTTTGGTTTCCCGATGGCTGTGGATGAGTGTTGAGTATTCATACTTCTTCCTCTGAGAGCCTGGGGCCTGAGCCTTGATTTCTTGGAGGGCTATTGTGGTGGGGTTTTGCAGTATGGAGATGCTAGATGGGAATGGGTGACAGTTTCCCCGCGTTCTGGGGGGGCATCTCTTTATTCTAGTGACCATTTCTTTCCCTCCTTTTCTTCTTCTTTTCATAGTACCAGAGCCGAAATGCAGGGTGTCCAGGCCCTCAGGCGAGTGCTCTGCCCACCACGCCACCATCTCCTGGAGTTATGTCTGGGAGGGGTAGTGATTCCTGCCTGGGGACAGGCTGGGCCAGGACAGGACTAGTTTAGGATTCCTATTGCAGTTAGGAAAGGAACGTACAGTCATGCCCAGCCACTGGTTAAGATGGGGTCTCATGAACTTGGCTGCTCACCTTGAACTCTAACCACAATCCTCCCTACCTCAGCCTCCCTACCCGCTAGGACTAGGGCCCAGCCTCGAGTCAAAAAGGTTTCTTTTGTTGTGTAGAGAGTTAAATTTTCATCTGGCAGGGATTTGTTGAGCACATGTTATATAACTGGCCTTCTGCTGGGGTGAGAGGGAGCACACATGCATGCACACGCGTGTGCACATGCGTGCATACAGGCACACACTCATGCACACACAATGCAAGCATCTGGCTTCCAATAGAAGAATTCATAAAACAACAGGCTAGAACAAAAATCAAAAGATTCCCCACTGTAGACATTAAGACGTGGCGAGTGAGCGATGACACTAAAATCTCTGCCTTGTGCTGAAACCATCACTGAACGGTTCAGAGGACTCTCGGCTCAGATGCCTACAGGCCAGATCAACGGGAAGATTCTAGACAGGTTAGAAAGTTAACTATAAAGAAGAAAGGAATTTACAAGAGGAAAGTGGAATGGTGTATCTCCACCCCTTATGTGATAGGGGAAACATTACTTTAAAATATCAATGTATCTAACTTCTTCGCTCAAACGTTTACTCTATGAAGAAAAATACTACAGGAAGTACCGGCAGAGGTTTTTGGGGGCCCTCAGCCACGGGCTCGGAGCAGAGGCACGGATGCCTTCTTCTAGAAACTCAACACGGATGGATATGAGGCATCCACAGAAAGTGAAAAGATGAGCAAACCCACAGATGCACTCCACGGCCCAGGCCAGCCTGCCTCTGAGAAGGGGATTACAGGTGTGTGCCACAGCACTTGACTCTGGATTGTGTAGGTTTAAATTGGGGAAAAGTAAAAAGAGGCCAGATATTTGGTATAAATTTATACCAAACATCTGGAATGAATCTAGTGAATTCCTGGCAGTGATTACAAACAGAAAAGGAAGGGAAGATTTGGAATTTTTGCTGGGGGGAGGGTGGGGTGGGTAGACAGGGAGGCCTCAAATTTATTTGGGAACATTTTATTTCTTTAAATACCTTGAACTGTCTGTAAACCTCATGACTCAGGAATCTGAGATCTGAGGAAGAATGTTTGAAGCTAAGGCAGGAAAATCCATGAGGTACCTATCTCCAATTAACCACCAAATAGCCAGATGTGGAGATATGGGTCGAGTGGTAGAGCACCAGTCTTGAGTACAAAAGCTAAGCAAGAGCTGGAGGCCTTGTGTTCAAGCCCCAGTTCTGGCACATGTGCACACGTGCATGCACATGCGTGTACACACACACACACACATACACGACCCCTAACCCAAAGAAACAAAAAGTCTGAACTACGAGTAATAGAAGAATGTGATCAAAGCACATTATTCGCCTGTATGAAATGATCACAAAACCCCTTTCTATAAGTAACATATGCTAATAAAAACAAATGAAGTCTGACTATATATAGAACAATGTTAAAAAAAAACTGTATAAAGAGAACCATGAGTGTTTATTTTGTTACTGTTGCTACATGTTTTGCAATGTTTTCTAATTAAACGCCCAAATACTTCATTAAGGAACAAACACACTATGTATTGGAAACCAGGTATAGTACAGTGGCTCACACATGTAATCTCAGCCCTGGAGGCTAGCCCAGGCTGCATGGTGAGTTCCCGACAGTTCAGCCTGGGCTGACCTTGAAAGTTTGTCTGGAAAAATTCAGAGGTGAGCACACAGCTCAGTGGTAAAGTGCTTGCCTGGTAAGGGCAAGGGCATGCAGTCTCCTCCCCAAAACACACACGCAAGCGTACACACACACACACACACACACACACACACTCACAGGTATACATGTCACATGTGCAACACAGAGAGCCAACAGATGGTGATGATGATGATGATGGTGATGATGATGGTATAAACTTCCTAGGAAACAAGGCCCCTGTGGGTAGACAGGACTGCCCCCCCAGGAAGGTGAGACCCCCCCCAGGTGGAAGACCATGCCCACAGTGGGTGGGGCTTTGGATTTCTTCTCTGTTATTCCCGGGGTCCACACAGGCTGCTCCCTTTCCTACATAATGCCACACTTTGTTTATTTTTGTGTTTGTGTTCTGACTATGAAGCCCGGGTTGGCTTCACATTTGCAGTCTTCCTGCTCTAACTTCCCGAGTGCTGGGATTACAGGCATATGCTGCCATTGCTGGCTGCATACCATACAATTTTTGGATTTGCAGTTTAATATCTTCTTTTCCCCTTGTTTTTCTGAGAGACAGATGGAATGCAACAATGTT